GTTTGTTTGTTTGTTTGTTTGTTTGTTTGTTTGTTTGTTTGTTTGTTTGTTTGTTTGTTTGTTTGTTTGTTTATTTATTTACCCACCCACTCAACCAGCGTTGGTGTTAATAGTCAGCACGTGTGCACTCAACGTTATTAACATAATGTACTTTTTGCTTCTTTGAACTAACACTAATGAAAGCATTACCAAAACGCGATGTAACATAGTCTTTATGTCCACAATTTTAGTAAATAATAATACTAATAATAAAGTTTCCTTTGTTGTAATGAATGGCATAAAAAACATTTTCAATGGATGAATGAAGATCAGGATTTTCTGCAAATGAGCATCGCTTCTTTCCGAGAGGCCGCTGATTTGCGACAGTTTCACAAACAATAAGCCGTCACAATTTACGGCAGCTGCGGTGGAAGTGAGGCGCTGCCATAAAAAAAAAAGGTAAATATTCCAATAAATCCTGGCCTTTTCATTAAAAAACAAAACAAAAACTCTTAATACAGAAGCTATTAGTCTTTGTTTCTGCGTCTTAAAGTTGTTATACGGTCGTAGTGGAAGTGACTTTTGCAGAATTACGTGACGTTAACATGCTAGTACTGGTTCAGCTCACTGTGAAACTAGTGGAGGATTTTTATCTAAAATTTGATTTGTTGTATTTCCAAAAGAAGGCATGGCACCAGACTCCTAAATGTTGCACCACTTAAAAAAAGTGAAAATTCAAGACCGTGTGGCGTGTTGACTTCAAATGGAAAACAAACATTTCTCTTAGTAGGCTACGATCAGTCACTGAGACCAGAAAGTGATTTATTTWCACGTTTAAGCAAGTCTCGTAAAACACAACTACGTCTGCTAAACTTCAGAAACAAAATAATTATCCCTGCCCCACGAAAGTGTCATTATATCACAAGTGTCATCTGCATTATACTGTAAACACAAAGATTCCCTCTTTCAAACTCAAATACTTTTAAATAAAATATTTTATGTTATATTCGTGATAGGGACTAAAACTTTTTGAGATGGTTCATGTTTTGCTGTGTTTTGCCATTGTTTCTGTTTATTTTATTCAAATTTTTTCTTTGTTTTTGTTCCTGATTTGAAAATAATTAGTAAACTCAAAGAATATTTAAGAAGAGCCACTGCTGGTAGAGTTTGTACAGACTTTACTAAGCACTGTGCACACATCAGATCGTCCTGTTTTTGTTACATACATTTGTTACACCTGATATTGCATTACTGTAAGTTGTAGATCTATTGAGTATGCATACATACACAAATAAAAATAAAAACCTGAAGCATTTCATGAAAAATAAAAACAATTATTAACTGATCATTCTTTGCTTTGCGCACAGGTGATGCGCATTGGATTGCCTGGTGCAGAGACGTTGCAAGTTGGGTCCTTAAAGGCTTTGATCTTGGTGAGTTTTTAAAAATGCCTCACGAGAAAACAATGTAATAACACTTAATTTTCAAAACACATTGCACATGCACTGGGTACTCTACTCCAGTAGATGCAGGAAGATTTGATGTTGAAGTTAGTGCACATTGTTACTTTGCTTTTTGTTGTCCTTCCAGACGGTGCTTTTGAGCGTGTTTATGTTCCAGCTGCTGAGGACTGTAGGGCTGCGAGCATTCTCCATGGCTTCTGAGACGTACATCTCGGGGACACACTCGGCAGCTTTTGTCACCTGTCCTAATGAAACTGTTGCCAGAGACTTGGCTAGGTGAGACAWTGAACAACACCTTAATTACACTTGATTTAAACAGTATATGAAACATAATACATTTCTGCTTGAATTGTAAACTGAGCCAACCAGCAAGACATAGTCAAAATGATGTTTACTTTTCCCCAAGTTTTTTTATTTATTGATTGATTGATTGATTGATTGATTGATTGATTGATTGATTGATTGATTGA